TCCCAGTACTAATTAATGCAAGTCATACTTTTATTTTAAGAGGATAATAGAATAATACCTTGGACTAAAGAAGTTTAGAAACAGCAAGACCTTTTTGTGTTTCCAGTTCATAGCGAAAGCACTTCTGGTATAGCTGGTCAAAGAGAACAACAATGAGCATCTCCTGAACATGCTTCAGATTTTTCTACTCGTTGCATAGAAGAAAGAAGATATTGAAGTTTCTAGAATTACTAATGGTAACAACATTTTCTAATAAGTTTCTTTACCACTTAGGTGACACCTCTTTTCTGTCGTGTTAATAGATTATTTCTTCTCAAACATATTGCATAGCTTTTTTTTAAGTACGAAGTAAAACTCATCATCCAATTTATAAATGCATTTCTGTATCACTTGGCTATCCATCTAATAAAAGCTGCAATATAAGTAAGAAACATCGAGTATCAGTCAACTCTTTTATTATTGACCAAAAATGACACCCTAAAGTTATCTTGACTCAAAATCTTCTAAAAAGAATGGAAGGAATAGAAATGTATAATTGAGGACGACTAGATGTCCTCCCAACAAAAGAAGGAAAAGTAAAAAAGAAGTGAAAGGCCTAAATGGGAAAACAACTAAGAAACACAGCCGGCCCCATGAAAGTAAGATAAATAAGAAAAACCATGCCCCAGTCAACCATTTAGTCAATTGGTCACAAAACTGTCACATTCATTCCCTATAGTCTTTTGCACATGATTATGGAACATTTCTTTCTACAAAAAGATAACAATGATATACGCATTACATACCCCAAGCTTTGAATACGAATGCCTAGTGTTTCCTTGTTCATGACTGATTTCTTCTTAGCGACAAAGTTGAGAAATTCATCAATCTTAATTTCTTTATTCTTAACAGCATCCATGAACTCAACAAGGAGTAAAATTATCTCCTCACTGGTTATCTTAAAGACATCAGTAGCACCATAGCCCACAGGAAAATTATGCAAGACAAGTGGGTGTTGCAGCAAAGGACCCAATTCCAAATCTTCAAACTGATCAACGCCCTCATTCTTGCATATAGCCACTTCCAAATCGTATAAGGATGTGATTCTCCGAACCGCAATAAAGCAATGAATAAATGCATTTATCTAAACAAAAAAAAAAATCGGAATAAGGAATATAAAGATATTGACAGAGTTACAGACTCGTCCAAGAAGTATTCTAACTTGGAAAACTAACTTCAACCAGAGTTTTCCCACATCTAATTTATTGATAAATCCTATACTTTCCCAGGCTTCCTCAAAACCAGTCAACAACATAATGTACCGTGCAACAAATGAGAAACAAACAAAGAGCTTCTCTACCCTCCGACATTCAAAGCTTCCCGGCTGCTTTAAATAACTAAAATGATAAATACAGCCCCCTTAAAACTTCAATAATTCAAAAAAAGGAAATGAAAAAATGCATCTAGACTATTGTACTTCAGACTTACCTTGCCTTCGGTGTTAATAATCCGACGAAGGGACGGAACGTCCTGCATCTGAAACCCCAGAGAACTCCAAGAATCAACCTGCAAAATCGAAAGAGCAGATTGCGATACCCTCCATGCAGACACACTGACTCCCGCAGCAATAGTATCACGGTGCGCCTTGGCCACGGCACTGTCTATCGTCTTCAAAAGCTCGTCGCGGTTTTGGGAAGTAAACCCATGGTTTTGGATTGGAAAATTAGGGTTTTGCTGGATAGGGAAGTTAGGGCTTTGATGTGGATAGTTTAGGAAGTTGAGGCCTGCTAAGACATTCATTAGGTTCTGAGAATGTTGGTAAACACCTGATAATTGCGGGGGAATATTGGAACCTCGATGCTGGAGCTGAGACTGGAAAGAACCGTCACGGAAGACGCTCCCATCGCCGGTGGCGGGACGGAAAGGCGGGCGGTGATGGCGTCCGTGCATTTGGAAGGAGAGAATGCAGCAGAGCAAGTGTTTATATTATCAACCAAACAAAATAATAAGTTTCCTCGAGGATACAAACAGCGCAGCGGATTTGGCGGCCGATATTGAGAATCGATTATGACGAGCAGAGAACAGAGTGAGAATCCACTGAAAGTCCATAAAGAGAGAGTCGGTTTTGAACCAAAGAACGCGGCGGCCACCGTCAAACTGTGAGTAGAAGCGAAATTTTCAGGGCGTCCCAATATATATGGTTAGTTTTAAAATTACAACAAGTAAGTTTTGTCTTAGAAAATAAAAAGATATAAGAAAATTTATTTTGTAAGTTAATATCTGTTATATTATATAAAAATTATATTCTTTTTCAAAATTAAAAAAAAAAAAAAAGATGTTACATTTTTCTTTGTTCTTTGACTAATGGTTTGTTTTTTTTACCCATTTTTAAGTGATAAATAAATATATTTAAAATAATTATAATAATATATATTATCTAGTAACTGGAAGTATTTACATGATCTTTTAATAAAGTAACGAACGATGGAGCAAACTGTATAATAATTTATAAATTATGGTGCTTTTATCTAATTTTGAAAAATAAAGTGGCTTCTATGTAATACAGCAAATGTGAAGGAGCAAAAATAATTTTCTCAAAAAACAAGTCACAATTTGCAAATACAAAAAAGACCTACTTTTTCCAAACAAGCCCTTATATTTCAAAAGGAATTAGCTTTGCTTTCAAGAAAAAAAAAAAAAAAATTTCATCACTTCAATTTCAACATGTTCTCATTCTTCTGGATCCACCATGGATCCTAATTGAACTGAAAATACTAAAATAATAATTCTCACTAGAGTTTATATTCACTCCTAATCGAATCATATGTTAATATGCAAATAATTTTCAATAAATATTTATAAGTATACTAAATTTGGAAACTAATTCCACAATTTTCAAATTTGTTACAAGCATTACTTAAAGATTCTATAGTTGCTCTGCATTAGTCCAAGTTAAGATGATTCTATCACCACATTTGTATGTACTTCAGAATTACACTACAATGATTTTGTTCCTGTCCTGGCTATACACAACAACTGATTCTGAGAAATCTACAGAAAAATGATGGACTAAATGACTGACAACCAGCATACTCTTGAAAAACAGGAACTGATTAAGGGATCAAAATGCAGGAAAAACAGCTCCATGAGCAGCTTATGGCAACATCTTGAGCATGCTCCATAACAGAGTTTTGTAACTTTTGCGTACTTCCAAGTCCCTAGATGAACTGTTTCAAAAATTCGGTAGCCACCAGTCTCCCTCGTGTATTCACAGACATCTTTAACTCACTTATCTCTTTATCAATATCCTGCATTTTAACAATATGCAATTCCAAAAAGGAAAAAGAGAAAATGTTAAGAAAATATCGAACAACAAACAATTATTATTAACCAGGAACCTGAAAAGCAAAAAAGAAAAATCTTTGCCTCCATGAATTGCACAATAAAATCTATGAGCTTATGTTTCTGCATCTCCTCACAGTGGTAGTTTGTGATAAGGAAGCTAATATCATAACCCTGCTTAATGAAACAACCAAGAAAAAAGAATCATTAGAATGACACCAGAAAACATTTCAATGGAAACAAGGAAAACTTTCTATCAAATCTGAGACATTAGTGAACCTATGATACCAATCCACATGCATTCTTTTTTTCTTTCTCTTGATACGAAAAGAAATATATTAGAAAGAGAATGAAGTTGTAATGTAAAGGGAGGGCAAGCTATTCTCCAAACAAACCAAAGCAAACATTAAAACCAAACAAAAGTAAGAAGACAATACAGAGGCAACACAAGATAATAACCTAATCCCTTTGAATTATATAAAAGATCGCCTAAAGAAATCAAGCGCAATCCTATCAGAAAAATCAATGACCAAAAGGACTGGGAAGTGTTCATAGTTCGGTATGAATTAGCAAGTTGGACTGAACCGAACCAGATTAAACCAAATAGATATAATCCAATTTTTAGTCTTAAGTTTCAGAAGACCAACATTTTCATTCCAGTCTAATCGTCTGTTGGATAAACAACCAATAGTAATTTTAAAACCAATAAATATTATGATATTAAGAATATTGTGATTATGAATATAAGAAATCATCATTGAACAATTGTAATTATATTTGTGTAGTCAATTTTATAAAATTGTTGTTGAAATAGAAGAATTATGTCTGATAGCCTATAAAGACAAGAAAAAGAATGAAAGAAAAAGAACCACAAACAGGTCTTCCAAAAAGAGAAAAGAAGACTTATCCCCCACCCTAGATTGCACAAGCGGGCAAAAGAGAATGTATCTGGCCAGTTCCTTCCAAGGGCTTTTGCGGGCGATGGGAAAATCCATTTTAGTATCTGACCATTCTAGTACAAACCAAACTTGCTTGTAATCATCCGATCCATAAAGAATTAGATTCATTTGGAAAAACACCATGCCATTAGGCAAAAAAAGCAATGTTTTTGGACACTGAATTCCCAAGACAGAAACCATTATTGATGGCACATAATTACAGCTTGCTATTTGGTAATCATTTCTGCTTAAGTAATTACTTATTTAGGAGTTAAAAGTTAGTATTTATTCTTTTGAAATATTTTGAGTATAATCTTATTCGGAAAAGGTTACCTACAACTTTATAGATATCTTTTCATTTCACCTTTAGGAACAATACCAGTTAATACAAATTATTTTGAGAACTTTCTCAATTTATTGGTTGTGTGATTCTATCAGTCCTTAAATATGATGTTAAGAAACCTTCATTTTATCCCCCAAATCCCTCAATAGTTAAATCGATCTTAATTTTTCATACGTCAACATCTGCTTCTAATCTCACCAGCACCCAACCAAAAAAAATCCCTTATAATTTTCTCAATGCTCTTAGTAACCCATGCTTCGAGAGAGAGAAAGGTAAAACAACGGGATACTAGATAGAGATGAGTTCAAAAAGTTACCTGACAACAAGAGAGAAAATTGCACCCTTCCAACTTCTTAACCTCATAGAAAACTCCTCACAACCAGATCCCAAAAAGAGAAAGACCTTGGGAACCCCAAGATATGACAATTGGTGATTCCAAAATGGAGCAACCAAAAAAGTAGCCAAGAGCTGGCACGTGTTTTCCGTTGTAAATCTAGCCTTTAAATACTTGGGGTTTCCCTTAGGTGCTAAAGTTGAGGACATATCAATTTGGCACCCTGTTATGGTACAAATTGTGAAGAGGCTACCTGGTTGGAAGAAAGATTATATGTTTAAGGGGGTAGGCTCATTTTTTTCTTGTAGAGGAGTTAGATATTGATGGCGTATGGTAAAGGAAATGAGGAGTTAAGGAAAGAGGTCAAAGATTTGTTCAGCAGGTTATACTCTGTGGATTTCAGTTGGAGACCTAGGTTGGATGGTTTAGATTTTGTCTTTGAATGATCAAAGCCGCGAATCTCTTGAAAAGAGGTTCTCTAAGGAGGACATTCTACAGGACCTCATGTAATGCAAAAAAGATAAATCTCTTATGCCTAATGGTTTAACATAAGTTTCCTTCAAATATTTTGGCATGCGATTAAAGATGATATCATCGAGCTATTTAACGAGTTTTATTAGTCTAAATCTTTTGTTAGATGTTTAAACTCTACTTTTCGGGTGCTTATTCCTAAGGTGGAGGGACCGACAAGCATCAAGGGTTTTAGACCTATCCGCTTAGTTGAGAGTATGTATAAACTCATTGCCAAAAAGTGTTGGTAAAGAGAATGGCTAAGGTAATTATGAAGGTGGTGGGAGATAGTGAGCACACAATGAAGGTAACTCATTTATTTTTGTTGGTGATACTTTGTTGTTTTGTGAACCAAATGAAAAGACTCTACTTAATTTCATATGCATGTTCTTGAGTTTCTAAGCGGTTTCTGACCTCAACATTGACTTTCCCAAGTCCGAATTGATGAAATTGAGTGATGGGAGGGATACTAACAGGTTGGCTAGGATTCTAGGGCTCCTATTAGGTGCTAAATATAAAGATGTTGCCACTTAGGACCTTGTAGTGACGAGGTTTGAACAAAGGTTGGTGGGGTGTAAAAGGAACTTTTTTATTTAAAATGGGAAGAGTTACACTTAGGACCTTGTAGTGACGAGGTTTGAACAAAGGTTGGTGGGGTGTAAAAGGAACTTTTTTATTTAAAATGGGAAGAGTTACACTTATCAGGAGCACTATGACCAAGACTCCCATTTGTCACATGTTCCTGTTGACAAAAGAGAGTACCATCTGACATTGTGGGACGAGATCAAAAAACTTATGCATCTAGGTGGATTGGGTTTGAAATCTCTGGTGGAGCTTAATATGGCTCTGAGGATTCATTAATGAAAATGGAAGTCTCTAGTGGAGGGTGATTAAGGCAAAGTTTGGGACCATTGATAAAGGTTGGTATACTAGGCCCTTGTCTAGACCCCAGGAAATGGGAAGTGGAAAAAAAATCTATATGGATAGGAGTAATTTCCAAGATCGTATCAGCTGAAGGGTTGATACGTGGGACAGGATCAGCTTATGACATGATGCCTGATTAGAGAGTGGCGCATTCAAAGATCAGTTTCCTAAGATCTATGTTATTACTCGGTACAAGAATGTCTCCATCCACGAGTCCTACCGTGATATTGTGGAGGTCATGAGAAATCTCAATGATTGGGAACATAAGGAGAATGAGGATCTTCTTTTAGTCCTTTCTAGGGTTAGAGTTAATAGGGCTAGAGACCAATCAGTTTGGAAGCTCAATTCTAGGGGGGCCTTCTCTATCAGATATTTCTACAATTGTTTGACTAAAAGATAAGTCATGGGTTCTCACTTTCCTTTCCAGAAAGTTTAAGAGGTTAATGCTCCACCTAGAGTTACTTTTTTCGCTTGGAATGCTAGTAGAGGCTGCATTTTAACTCTGGACAAGTTGATTAGGGCGGGTAGGACTTTGGTAAATGACTGTTTTTTATACAAAAGGGAGGTCGAGTCATGTAATCATATCCTTCTTAGGGATAGATTGTAAAAGTTTCCTTGTGAACCCCCTAACTTTTGGCATGGATGTTGATCAAATGAGGAAGGAGTAAGTCTTGGTGTGCAAAACTCGACCTGAAAATACCTTCTATCTTAATAATCATATTAAAGTTAGAAGCTAAAATTAAACTCAAAATTAAATAAGAAATGAACTAAACAAGTCGTTAGTCTTTTTCTTGAGCCCATGTTTTAGCAACTGTTGCAGCGGTGCAACTTCAGGATATCAAAAGAAACCTCTATAGTGATTTTTTCCCCTGAAAAGTCTATATTGAAGTAGTCATGAATATCAAATCTTGAAACCAGCTTATGGTGGAAAAACAGATCATCTGAATGTAGCCACTACTTTTCACTAGCCCAATGATTTGCCCATGTGAAAATCTTAGGACAGAACAACATTTCCATTTGTCATACAATTTCGAAAGAAAATGACCCTCCAAGACCTTAACAATTTGAAACTACCTGAATGAGGCAAGTAATAAGAGGTGAAAAGACAATAATAATTTCAATCTTAAGATCAAACGATACATACTTGTACTGGCTTTCTCCTCAAGACTTGAAAAGCTTCTGCCCTCATTGACAGAAACCTAAGAAACTTTTTAGTTAGTATGTTTTCAAGTTCATCTGCTTGTTTTACCTACATATCCGGAAAAAAAATATGTACATTAGCAGGAAATGACAGAATGCAATTTTCAGAAGTTTCTAGCCTCAGACATTCCTAGTATTTGCTAGCATTACAACACAAACATAAACAAACAATGCATTACAACACCAAAATAGCACAAAAAATATACCGCATTATTGCTTCTCCCTGTGCACTGAGGAGAGGTTAAGCAATGAATCCCATTCTCAGAACTATTTTTAAAGAACCATACACCAAAAATGGATAGCGCTCAAGTCCTAAGACAACATCAGGCTTCTAGCAATGTGCCAGGATTCTGGAACGTGTCCAAGTCCTGGTATGTTCAAGGTCCTGGGACAACACCAATGTCTTGAGAAGTGCTGGCGTCCCACGAGAGTAATAGGGTACTATTGTGGCCCTTGGCATTGGAATCTTTTATGGAGTTTTGCAGTAAGACTTCCAGAGAAGAGCGGCTGCTTTTTAGATTTTTTTTTTTCCTTTTCTACTATCGTGAATGATGGTTTTAAGAGCTCATTTAAGAGAATCTTGAACCTTTTTTTCAAATAAAAAGTGTATAATTCTATTATTATAAGCACCAATGGGGCGCAAACTCATTTACGAAAATTTTTACAAGTTAATGATCTCAATCAAATCACCAAAATCCTCCATTGAGTGCAGAAATTGACCTATTATAAAAACACCTAGGGTGTAAAACCATCTTACTCTAATCTTGTCAATATTATCTTCTTTTCCATCGGACATTCTCCTATTTCTTTTTTTCCAAATAACGCAGAACAATGATATGAGTCCCTATTTTTTCCACCAAGTGATGCCTTTCCAAACCCACATTTCATTCTTACGCTACCAGTCATTGCCCAAATATATCCCAAAATTCCATTGCTATTTCCCATAAGCTTTTTCCTACTGGGCATCAAAGAAGAATGTGACCACAAGTCTCTTCAGCTCTCTTACATAAGCAACACCAATTCACCAAATCACTTTTCATCAATTTGTTAATGGTTAGGATGCATCCGCGAGTTGCTTTCCTAGCAAAAAAAAAAAAAAACTACCCTAGGAGGTGCATTTACCTTCCAAAATTGCCTGAATAGGAACTTGTTATCAATATCCTCGTCTTTAGCTAAATGTTTACGAAAAAAAATTAAAAAAATAACCCACAGGAAATTTCCCTATTGCATTTAGAGAACAAACCGGCCAATCAATATTCTCATCAAGGAAGACAAGGTTTAAAGAGCTCAAGAGTGATTTGTTTTAATTAATTTCTCAATCATTGAAATTTCTCAAAACCTCTACATGCCAAAACCTTCCACAAGAGAATCTTGAACCTCATAAACAAAACGAATAAAATGTTGGGATTTCCTTTATGACAATTCAAATTTCTTGTTCTAGCATCTATACAGAACTAAAGGAGCTCCTAACAACCACTACTTTTACAGAAGTAATTGGAAATTTATAATCAAATTTTTTGTTTATTGAATTTCTTTATTCATGATACTTAATTTACAACATATAGATACATATAAAAGAAAATTTGAGAGTTCTTTTCTTGAAATAAAAGTGTGAATAATATTAACAGGCTCCAAGGGAGTGTCAACCCGTATACAAATATTTACATATCTATCAAAATGTCAATAAGGTCCCCAAAATCTTCCATTGAATAAGATCTTCATTTTTGTTTCCTATAAAGACATCACATCTGGATTCCATCTATTCATATAACCCCTAATAACTTGTCTTTTTTGTGGTAATTTATCCCTCGAACGTTTCATGCTATGATTCGTACAAACATCATTTGTAATGGAACACCCTTCATCCCTCTTTGTCCCCCTTTCTTAGTATATCATAGTTAATTGATGACTGCAGTCTCCTTAATTTTCTGCAACCATGTATACTCTATTTATCCTTCATATCTGCGCAGATATATGGCTAGAAACAATATTGGGTGAATTGAGAATTCTCTCCTTAGATCATATTAAAGTGTTACGTGTCAATCAATTCACAATAAATATAGCAAAGAATCCAGTTCATCATGATCGAACTAAGCATATGGAGATTGATAGACACTTTATTAAAAATAAGATAGAATCAGGAGCACCATCCTAGTGGCACAATCAGTCTTGCCATCAAATCGTGAATATTTTTTCCGAGACATTACCTAGAAAGACTTTAAAAGAACCGAGTTTCAAACTTGATTTCTTCAACATCTTCAAACCAACTTGAGGGGAACTATAGGGATCTGACTTCTTATAAAAGTGCAATTTCTGTACAGATTGGTATATCCATTGAAGTCTCCCTATAAAGCAAAATCATAGTCGACTTCCACAACTGGAAGATCTTTCCTTTATGGGATTGATTTGTACTTATTTTCCGACTAAAAATCTTTCTAACTTTCTTCTATATATTCAGTTGTTGTACATTAAGTATCGTGAATAAAAATTCAATTAAAAAAAAAATTATTATAAACTTTCGCATACTTATCTTTAACAGGTTCAGAATATTTGATTTTTTAAGAACCAGAATAAAAAAATAGGGTGTTCACACAGTTTTGTTGTCATTTTTCTTTTACAACTTAAACTATTGGTCTATGAAATTGCTTGTTTAGTCGGTTTTGATTAGGTAACCCAACTTTGGTTCAGTTACCAGATTTTAGTTTGGTTACAACTAATTTATATCTTCTGCTTCTCCTAGTCACTCACCTTTGAATTTTTTTTGAAACAGAAACCTCAATAATTAGGAAGTGTCAAATTCAATATCTTTGCTTAACGTTTTCAATAATTTTTTATCTTGCCTCTAAACTTTAGTGGGGACTTTATAGTGGTTAGATATTTACATTCAAATTCTTTTACGAGTTTTTCCCCCCTTTTTGAAGGCGAAATTTACATCTCAACATAGATTTTTTGTTTGAACCACAGTCCTGAATAACATTAAAAAAATTGCTTCACACTTACAAACCCCACAAGCTTTACTCCATGGTACCTGTTTGATGTGCTTTTAGAGCACAAACTTCAACACTCTTGTTTCTTCATTGTTAGGTTTCTTGAAGGGTTTTGCTGTCACACTTTTCCCTCATCTAGAGAATCTTGGCTTTTTCCCTCGAAATCGCTATTATTAGAACCGTAAGATTCACAATTCGAATTGTATAATTTAATTCAATTTCAATATCAAAACAATTTGAACATTACGGATGAGTTGGAATTTACTCAATTTTGATCAAAACCATATTTAAATATGTTGGATCCGATCAATCAGTTGGAATTTACTCAATTTATCTTTTTGTTTATATATTATATATAAAGTTTGATATACAAAGTACATTTGGAATATTACAGTTCTTTTTCGATTCACAACTTTCAATTAAAAAACTTGTGATATCATTCACAATTTGAACTCAATTCAAGGACTATGCCCTCTTATATTTGTCTATGATATTAGTTATGTATAATATGTTTCTTTCGATATTTTATTTTTAAGTTTTTAAATTAATATTTTATCTGCAAATTTGATATGCAAACTATATTTGTAATATTTCAATTCTTTTTCGATTCTTAATTTTTGATTAAAAAATTGAGATATCAATTCACAAATTGAATCTCAACTGAAGGACTATATCCCATTCCTTTATATCTTCATATCTTTGTTTTTGCATGGTTTTGGAGGAATAAGGAGCATAAGGTGTTGCGACGGTGAGCTACTTATTAAGGGTTACAGATGCTCCTTTGGAACACATCCCTAGTATTTGTTTGATAAGCAAAAACAAGCACAAAAGTTTAACCAAAAAATCTCCCCAGCATAAGTAACACAAAAAGCATCCAAGGAAAGATGATATAAACTCACCTTGAGGCTTATTCGCAGAGAATTTATAGATGTTTCTATCAAGCATTTTTCAGCCTCATTTCTACATATCAGAACCTGCAATGGGAATGTAATGTCTAAGAATGCAAGACATAGACAGTAAGCAAATCTGTCCAGCAAAACAACGAAAATGAAGTACAAAAGCACTTTCAGTTTTCAAATAAGTAATTGACAAGAACCCTAGAGAATTCAGCCCCTTCAAGGATAATGTATATGGAAAACACTAAACAGATAATAGCCAACATTTTGTGACATCTATATACAATATGAGAATATGATGTGGATGGGAAAAGGACTCCTTACAGGAACAACATAACACAAAATAACATTTCCCCTTTACTTTAAATCTTGTAGCAATCAGCCCCTTGCAATTTTAACTCAGAGAATCTTCTCCTTATACTTTTCGTACGTAACAAATAAAACCTCAACCAGTTGATATTCAACATGAATGTTAAAATATTCAATGATACAAGTCATTTGTCCATTGGCTAAAAACAAAAATTATGCTTTACCCTGTTGTAAACCAAGCTTCTTCAGTACACGTCAATTTCCTTTCTTTCTCTCTCCAAACAGCCAAGTTGTTTTCTTCCTCTCCAAACCCTGATCTTTGCCTCCCTTTTCACCGATTTCAATGCTTATGATGTTAATGTTAATTCATTCGAATTTCTCTTACAAATTTTCCTGTCTCTTTTACAATTTTTTCTAAAGAAGTAAAAGCTTGTATGCAAAAGCAGGAACCATTTGCTATCCAGGAAAAATGTAGACATCTCCATGAATCAGAAGAAACACCTCAAACAGTCTCCAAGATAAACAATGAAAGGAGAAGACACCACAAAGGTCCTAATTCCATGACCTTGATTCCCATTCTGTCCCTTGCTTCATGCAAAGGGAGAATGAGTATATTGCAAAGGGTACTAAGATTACATTACTATCCATAGATTTTCTAAGTTAACGTTCGTTGGGTTGAGTGTTACTTGTTACATATGTTAGAAAATGTTTTTCTAATTTGACAAGTCAAAGCACAATATGTTAATCTTTAAATTGCCTTAACAATTAGATTTTCATTTTTTGTTGTGAGTTTCTTTTTCTTTTAAATTAAAAAAAAAAAAAGAAACTCACGATGAAAAATGAAAATCTAATTGTTAAGGCAATCTACAATGTAGGGTAATCTTCAAATTCACACAAAAGTGTTTTTGGATAAGATAGAAGAAAAGCCCACATATAATTATGTAAATGCATTAATCGGTGTTCCCTTAAAAGTTAGATTCATCGACCAACAAACTGAGATGATGGTAGCATTTCTAGTCTAATCAGTTAGAGAGAATGCGAGAAGCTGCTCGAATAATACTAAAGCCATCAACAATACAACGGCTTTAAAGGAGGTTAGGAGAGTCTCATGGCATGCTTGGGAGCATCAGGGATGAGAAACAAACTTCAAAGAAGAAAGCTAACAACAATTGAAATAACATAAACTGCACAATCAGCCACATCCACCAATTTAAAATTACTAGAAGAAATCATATAACAGGATCAAAAGTTGAAAGATAGTCTTACAGGATTTAGTAGAAGTTCTGGGCTGGTCCTGCAGAATGGAACTTAAAAGATTATAGACTTTTTCGGAGATTATTTAACAACTGCTAATCTAAAATTATTTATTTAAAAAAATTAATTAAGATGAAAAGCTAATACAAAGAATAATGGCAAAGTATCTTCTTAAAAAAAAGATATAAAATCAAGGAAGAAATTAGAAGAGGAAAGAGTGGCTGATTTTTTCCTCCCAATTCCTTCACAACATAGATTAAACAATTCCTCCCAAAAAAATTGTGCCTTAGCCCACACCTACAAAGAGTCCATACAAATCATTCTCTCCCAAAAACATGACCCCTCACAGCATGATATGGACTTCATTATTCACATGATCCTTCAAGAAGGCATTAAAAAAACAACTCAATAGTGGATTGGTAAACCCAACAGTTCCCAAAAGGGCCAAACAGCTTATTTCCAACTATCAAAGCCAACTTGCAGTGAAAGAACAGAGACTATTACACTCTGATTACAAAGCCGTACACCACATCACATAAATATCTGAAAAATAACTCTAATAGGATGATGATTCTGAAGTAACTCATTAATGTTATATGTATCAAGTACCATGGTAATAAAGACTTCAACCTTTGAGAAAACTCTCACCTACCAAAAAGAATTAGTGAAAACCCAATGGTTGAAGTGGGGTTACAAGTCAAGAAGGAGAAAAATAATCTACAAGAGAACAAATCTTCAAATCTAGAGACAAGGACTACTTATTAGAATTATGCAAAGGCTGGGAAGATTAGAGCAAATTAATTATGGCAAACAAATCAGAGATCTACATCATTTAAGTTTCTGAAAAAATGGAAAATTCCAAGTAAAATAAGAACATCATTGAGTAGCAAAGAAATATGATGGCTATCACAAAGGAGAGACTATAAAGGCAAGGAAGTAAAGCCTAATCGAAACTAATTTAAAAGGTGTCAAAGTAGAAAGGCCTCAAGTGATCTGAAAGCCTGCTGGAACTTATACGATGCTACCTCCAACTTTTTAAATAAAGAAATTGAAAATGAAGAAAAACTGCCAAGAGAAGGAATTCATGTTACACTAGAAGACTTAAACGAACAACTTCTTTGTTTGATTAATTTCTTATTTGAGCAAGTTGTTGTCAGTGAAATCTGGTACCAAGATTGGATCCACAAGGCAGAACAGAGTTAAGCAAGCGAAGACAGCACGGGTAATCAGCAAACTGTCCAGTGTTTGGTAACTACGACATAATGATTAGATAAGAAGATTACATTTCCACAGTCCAGTTTTAATTCTATTGAACATCCAAGTTGTACAAGTCAATTAATAAAGATTAAAGATAACATAACATGACTTGAAAAGGTTATGGCCCTTCCCAACTTTGGATATATAAAACTCAGATGGTTCATGACCAACCACATGATCACATGCAACCAAATTAGGTTTTTTATTTGAAACCAAAGGAAAAGAAAAGAGACAAATCAGGTATGCAATAGCATAATATGTCAATACAAGTGTTTGCCGATGAAAGATACTACAACATCAATAGAAGGATTAATGTTATTCGTTGAATTAGAAAAAATGATAACAACGATAAAGAAGGATGATAAGATTTGACACCAATAAACAATAAGGAAAACTCTGCACTATACATTTTTGGACAGACTTTCCAATGAGAACTATTTTCTTTTAATACAACTTGCACGGAGTTTAGAAAACAGTAAAGGAAATTCCTTTCCAGAACAAAGCTATCAGAAAAAGAAGACACAAAACCAATATACATACTTTAGTTCAACTTCTGGCTTATTATGCCTTTCAACTTCTTGACAAGGAAAATTCTGCAACCAGCAAATGAATAAAAATTCAGATTGGGTGTTGATATCACATGAATGTGAACAGACTCATAAGCAAAAATACATAATGACCACCAAGCATCTGTCATAATTTTTTTTCCAAGAATAATCTACTACAACATAATCTGGTCCAGCCAGACACACATGCTTGTTAACAAAGTCCCAATACACAGTTTAACATGCCCAATCGAAATAAAATGATGTTGAACAAGTATTTTTTTTTTTTTTGTTAAATAAAAAGTTAAGAATTATATATTCACAAGGCACCAAACAAGGGGGTACCACCCATGTATAATTGTTTACATACTAGTTAGGGTATCAATGACAAACCCAAAATTCTCATCTCTAACAATGTCACGCCCCATAAACATAGACCCAAAAACATGGAACCACTTATCTCTTAATCTATACATCAAGTTTTCTTTCCCATCAAAAGCCCTAATATTTCTTTCTTTCCAAATAACCCATAACACTGTTAGGGGAATTATATCCCAACGAACATTATCCTTTCTCATACCATCCCAAACCCATAATTCTTCCCTAACCGTACCAGCCATTACCCACTTCACCCCAAGAAGACTATATACCATACTCCACCGCTCATGAGTCACTGGGCACCATAAGAGTAGGTGGTTGCAGGATTCTGCCGCATTTATACATAAATAACACCGGTTAGTCATGTGGTGTCCTCTCCTCATCAGCTTGTCAACAGTTAAAATACATTCTCTACTGGCCTCCCAAGCAAAAAACACAATCCGTGGAGATGCATTTAACTTCCAGATCTGCTTAAAGGGAAAATTAAAATCTGAACCAGCCCTTCCTTCTCTAAGGTAGAGATAATAGGATTTACAAGAAAACTGTCCATTCTGACTCAATTTCCAAATCACCCTATCCTCTGTTTCCTTCAACTTCTGCATTTCCAGCAATTTCAACAGGTTTATGTAATCTTGTATCTTCCAATCTTTTAAGTTTCTGTATGCATTCACCTCCCAAATATAGAGAACTATATTAATCAATTTTTCAAACCATAAACCCGTTAAAATCTAGAGAACTATAAAAATCTCCCAAAAAAGAAAGAAAAAGTATTATTATCATTACAAACTTCTAGGCAAAACACAAAGCTAAATGAAGCACTGAGATGATGTATTAATGAGCATAACTCTTCAAAGACACTTGTGTTTCTTCCAAAAGAAACTCTTCAAACAATTTAAAACTTATACGCTGATCTGAAGTTAAATGACCTAGAAATTCACAGACGCATAAGTGGTTTCTCAGATCATGCCGGATCAATTAGAATCGCCATTTTGCAACTAAAGATGAATTTCAGCATCACAAATTGGACAGCTAAGTGAGAATCGCAGAACAACGCCTTACCTGCAGGCACATGGCTGCCTCGAGAGTGTTCCGTATGCACGTCAAGTAAAGCCGCAATGTGCTTGCCTGAAAGGGTTTAACCCCAAGTACAAAAATCACTCATATCTTCTACACCATGATTAACAGAAACTAATCCAAACGAAACTAAATTACGTCGGAGAAATAAAGGTGCTTAGTTCTTGATCTGGAAATCATCTTGCAATATCTTAAAATAGAGGGGGGAAAATCATATATGACAAAAAACTGGAAAGAATAAAAAGAAGAGAGAAGCGAAGATATAGTCTTACCATTTTATAATTTTCACAAAATTGAATTACTTCTTCAAAAACTTCAACGACATGTTAAGAAATTTAGTAGAACGAGGGAGAGTTCAACGAATCACTTCTGTAAGAGGGAATCATCTGAAAATGCATCGTTGTTTTAGTAGAGAAACTTCAAAAAATTAAAAGAATTAAATTAGCAGAAGGAAAAAAAATCCGACCTGCCGGATTCGAACCAGCGACCTAAGGATTAGCTGTTAGGGGAATCCTACTACAGTCCTCCGCTCTACCATCTGAGCTAAGGTCGGAGCTGTTTTATCTGCAAACAAAATTTAATAAATCTTGTCAAGTTTAAAATTTTAATTAAAAATCGAGAGGCCGAGGGAAAAATTCCGACCTGCCGGATTCGAACCAGCGACCTAAGGATTAGCTGATAGACATTACCCCACTACAGTCCTCCGCTCTACCAACTGAGCTAAGGTCGGTCGGGAGTCGATGCCTCATTTTTATTTTAATAATCATATATATTGATACATATTATAATCTGATAGTTAAATTTTAAAAATATCAAATAGCTTATTAAAATTTAGTATTCTGAATTCAAATTCAAAATAAGAAAGTTACATAATTTTATTGATAAAAGTACACAATTCTAAAACAATAATAAATTTATATAAAAAAATAAAATTAATAATTACATTTAGCAAGAAACAAATTATAGATCGTAAAATAAAAAATATAAATTGCGACTGGCTATGGTGGAAGTTATGCAATTTAAATTAATAATTAAAATTGGATTATAGTTGTTTACTAAAATTATTTTTACAGAAAAAAAAAAAGAAAGAAAGAAAAAGAGTGAGAGATTTCTAAGTTGTGAAATAAAAAATGCAAATTGATAACAACTTAGGTGGAGATCATGCAATTTGAATTGATGACTAAAATTGGATTATAGTTGCTTAATCAGATTGTTTTTTTTTTTCATATATTTTCTTACATTAATATTATACAATAAAACTTTAACTCAGTATTAAACATATTTTTTATATTAGATTTGTATTAATATTATTATACCTCTAGAGGAACTAAATTTAGTGTTGCATATATAAGAAAGAATTTCTAAACATGGTTTTATGTTCAGCATTTTGGGTTCACTTGGGCATTTCATACATCTTTAAATATAATAATTATTTTGGATTAAATTTTTTTAAAAAAAAAATAAGACAAAATTATCCCATGTAAGTCTTTGGAAGTAGCTTTGACAAAAACATTTAATGTTTAGTATAATCTACTTTAGTTTTAAATTAGCCCATATATTTCCATTTCTTTTTTAATGTGATTTTAATATTTAAATTTGTATTATGAAAGAAGTCTCTTCAATGAAAGAAATTCCTTTCTTATATATTTTTCAAAAATTTGTAAAAGACATAAATTCAACTAAATCATTCCATCAAATATCTATTTTTAGCTCGTGCATAATGAAGAGTTTCTGTGTTTAAAGATGAATATTAATTAATTTGTCTATTTTATGCTACTACGATTAGCTCTTTATTTTTCTTAAGTCTTGCTTTGCTCATCAATTGTTCGATAAATTGTTAATAAAAAAATTATAATTGTTTTAGATATAAATATAGACTCATATTTATTTATTTATTTATTCATTCATTTTTTAGTTTATGTACATAGCATATCACGACACTCTCGCTTAGGTTATAACATATAATTGTAGGATGTAAAATTATAACCTATTAACAAGCTATATAAGGCAAATGACTCAATTGTCCTCTTAATACTAATTTGAATGGGATTTATTTTAAGGTCATCAATGATTTAATATTTAACTTAGATTGTGACTCTTTATGTGTTTTTAAAAATAAATATTTTATATATTTTTAGAAAATTCGTCATCTTAGTTAAATATAATTTTATTTTTAATTATAAGTTTCCTACAAACTTTAAAAAAGTGATATAATATAACGATTCCGGAAATTTAAATGAAATATATGTATTAAAAATCTCAAATGTGGAAGCGTAATAAAAATTTTGATTAACATCCCTTACACAATAACCAAAACGTACTCAAAACATGAATGAACAAACTAACTAAAAGATATACTCGAAATAAAAACTATAAATATAACTACAAAGTCTTTAGGCGTCCCCTTCGTCGTCTTCCTGCGGAATGAGCTCGGGAACAACGTCTTCCTGATCTGAAATAGTTAAATAAGGGATGAGCTACACCAGCCCAGTAAAGACATCACACTATCTCACCGTCACGGAAGTAAAGGTGGGTAGAAAACAAAAATGACCAATGGAGCATAATTTATAACAAACTCGTTTATTAACATAAAAATATTTACTGTCCATTTACCTCGATAAGATCTATGAAAACAACATATGAAAACAATAACTTTATAATATCATGAAATAATACACACTTTATAACATAACACATATTATACCATTAGATTTCAATCATCAGAAAACAGATTTCCTCTTTTACCAGCCTACTAGTATCAATAGGGATCCATAGGGGGTCTCTGCTACACGTGAACTATTAATATTTACAACCTGATTCCAGAGCAGTCCCCATACCCCGTCCGGCATGGGCGCCAAAACCATGAACCTCAATACCCCGTCCGGTATAAGGGTGAAACGGGTCGTCCCCATACCCCATCCGGTATGGGCGCCAAAACACATAAGGTCTCTATACCCCGTTCAGTATGAGAGACCACGTTCCCGGTAGGATTTCCTACGGACCCGGTCCGTCCACCATCTCCCAGAATATCTAGTCAGGTTGTCTACATTTTCCACTTATCAATTCACATAACCTTTTTGCCTTTTTCCTTAATCTCAATCATCCAATCATACACAACATGTAAACCAGTAATTGATACCAAATAAGACCATACAGTACAGGGTTCACCATAATACAAATCATAATAAAAGAAACCATAGTTCATGCATACGAGACCATAACATAACTACATCAAACATCATGCTACATTTAATACTGAAAATTAAATAAACAA